GCGAGACTGGCTCTACTGGCTGAGCCACCGCAGTGAGGACGGTGGGTGTTCGGGGATCCTTGGGGTTTAGCCGGGAAGCGGAAAAATCCTTGAAATTTAGCTTCCCTTGGCGGCGATCCGACACCCTTCACTTCAGCTCACGAACCACGGCACTTTTCGGGGAAACGACGTCACTTCCACGCGACGGTGCTGGGAATTATCCCTCCAGCGGACACACGCCACGAAAACGGCACTCCAACTTCTCGTTTTCACTTGAAACGGACGGGGCAAAAAACGCGTCGATTTCCTACCGTGGCTCGTAACTTTCTTCTCCCTGTACTACTTGACAATCACGGACAATACAACAACCGCCATCGTTCTCCTGCAACCGCGCTCGAATGTTGTGCTGCTTATGTTTTTCGCCTTCTTTTGCAGCGGGAGGAGAAATGGGACCTAACTTTATTCTACACGCGAGACAATTTTGAACGATAATTTTTACACTATATTCTAATCCTAAAAACATGCCTACACGAATAAAATCTACGATGAAAATAACAAATTAAAATATTTATAAATAAAGCAGTGGTGAGTATGTTGCCGAGCGTGCGACCAAAACAAAAACAAATCATAACAGACAAGGCACACGCTCATGGCAAACACGTTAAAAGGGTGGGTTATTAATTGTCACCCTAGACGAGGGTTACAAAGTATAGAGTTGATAGTTCCGTTAGAGTACGTCGTATATAGAGACGAGCAAGGACAATTTTGAAAAAGGTTTGAGTCGGGTTGGTCATCCCTCTTTACCAAACTCCCCAGTTGGAGAGAGATGGTGAGTGGTGTCCCCTCCCCCACCGCCACCACTGGCAAAAAGAGATGACTGTCATTTGTCGAAAGGTACAGTAGCAGCAGCTTCCCTACCCGTGTCTCCTCGAGATCGTCAAGTCGACGATGACAGGAGCACATACCGTGATAGACGAAGAAAAGCTGCAATTTCCAAACCTGCGACTTGATACATCCCTTCAGATAACGACTTGAGTGTGGTACAATCGATAGAACTGTTTCAAACACATCGTCGGTACATGAGCAAATCGGTGATCATCTCTTTTTACCAGTGGTGGTGAGGGGGGGGGGACACTTCTCACCATCCCTCTCCAACCGGGGAGTTTGGTAAAGAGCAGACTTGCTTCCACTCACTTGTTATAAATCATTGTTTATCATTTAAATCATTAGATGTTATAATGATAATTTATACTAGTATGTTACAAGAAGTGGTTGTAAAGGATGTGTTTGATTCATAAAACCTATCAATTCTGATTTCAGAGCATCACAATTAGCAATTTTGTGATTCGTGAGCGCTCACTCTGACGCTCACGAATCATAAAATCGATTACCATGACGCTCTGAACGTGAAATTGACAGATTTTATGTGTCAAACACTTACTTTACAATCTCTTCTTGTAACTTACTAGTACAAAATATCATTAAAACATTTAACGATATCAAAATTCCAAAAACCCAGTTTTTATAGCAAGTGCGTAGAAGCAACCCTGGTAAAGCGATATGATCAACACGATTCGAACCTTCCTCAAAGTTGTCCATGCTCGCTTTCTACTATCTATATACAATTTTCATACTGCCGTACTCTAATTGCACTATCAACTCTATACTTTCATCTGCTCATCTATCGCTCATCTATCTAATCTAATCTAATCTAATCTAATCTAATCTAATCTAATCTAATCTAATCTAATCTAATCTAATATAAACGCAGCCAGTACGAGAAAGCATCCTGGAAAATGATTAGGTTAGATGAGGTCTAATCATTTTTCTTGCCTAATTGATGTTTACAGCATTTCTGAGATATGATATAAACATCAATACGGCCAGGCCTACTGCGTTGTATTTGCCGCAAAGATGATTCTTGGAAATAAAGAGGAACGTTTCTTGAATCTACAGGGGTGGAAAGATGCGTGGACATACCGTATCAAACGCTCCGAGTTACTATGTGTAGTTGTGTGTAATGTGTAAATATTTGTACAATATTGAAGAATCATTATCATGCATTACTTCAATGGAAGGATCTTATCGAATTTTTTCCTATGTTGGTAATGATTCTTTTGCGCTTAAAAGTTTCGTTGGATGCATCCAGGGTTACTCATCTATCGCTCATCTATCGTATAAAAATTACCACTTTAGTCTGTTATTTGAACTTAGCATTCTCAACTATATAACTCCACACCTTACAGATACAGCTGAGGATTAGAGATAGTCACAAGTTCGTGATACTCAGTGATTACCCAAGACCATTCGTGAGAGTGGAAATTTGGGATAGTGGAGCATCTAGAACATTGTTAGGAATAGGTGGTAGGAAGCTAGTGAGTTCTCTAAATTTGAAATTGAGGCCCGCGAATGTTGATTTGACGACAGCAGGAGGTCAAAATTTAGACGTCGTAGGGACCACCGACATTCCAATAACATTCAACGGAGAAACTAAAACTCTAACCGGTCTTGGTTGCTCTCAACCTAAATCGTCGTTGCATCTTGGGATATGACTTCTGGCAGGCCATTGAGATTCATCCAACAATTTTCCAGTCCGTCGAAGTGATTGATGAAGCTGAAACAGAACGAATGGAAAGCGTTAGTGAGCTCAACGATGACCAAAAACGGCAACTGGAGAAGGAGCTTATTCTTAGTAGCAAGTCCAGGGCACTTGGGAAAAACTAGTCTCATGGAACACAAAATCGAGGTGAAGGACGAATTTACAAATACCGACCCAGTTCTACCCGCAACTTAAAGAAAAGGAAGCAATAAATTCCTGACTTGTCTAGCTTAGCATAAATAAGACCCTATTTTAACGAGGTTCTTGAAGAAATTTTTCAAGATAATGTTCAACGACAAAGTTCGAGTGGTAGGAAACGTCGTTTTAAACAGCTCGGATGATATGATTCAAAGTGTTGACTTATGCGAAGCTGCTCGACTTCAATACACTAGTACACTAGCAATTCCTTCCGTAATTGAGGGATTTCCAAACTTACAAGAACAAGGCAAGGTAAAGATTTTGATAAATAAAATTCTAGCTCGGAAAAAACAAACTCGACCGTTCCGGAAATCACTTACGGCTTCTGTTGGCTCAAGTGATTAAGGTTTTATTGCACAATTATCATGAAATTTACCTGTTAACTCCAAATTGAAGTTATCAACTGTAATTTTAACTTGTAAAATCTAGGAACATTGAACGTTTTGAGATCGTACTAGCTAGCGCCTAAATTGTCATGCTGGATCCCAGTAGTCTGGAATTTTCACCGGCTGCGTCGACTGACGCCGCTATCGTCATGACCGCTGATAATACCAACAATCAATACGAAACTAACGATTTTAATATGGCTCACTACTTGACTAGCCCAAGCAAACGATTAACGTACCCCATTCTAGTCTAAATTCTACTACTACACAATGTTTGTTTTGATTCGCTATGAAAGTTTAACAGATAAAATGAGGGGTTAGTGTATTTTCCTATGTTTCGAGGGGTGAATCGATTAGCTTGGGACCGAAGAGAGTACCAGAGCTGAGCCAAAAAGTTGAGCACGCTATTTCGGGACCTTCTAGTTTTAGAGTTACCTCTATGATAATACTGCCGCCCACAGCTGGACGTCTGTAATTGAAAGAAGCACTATTGGTTTACCATAAATACACTGTCACACTGCTGCTACTGCCGGAACAGTTCGTCATACTGTTATAATAAACTAACTACTCGCGCCGTGCTCACCTTACAATAATTCAAAAATGCATGTATTGCTGACATTAAACCGAAGGCATCATATCAAGAAGACTGACAACTTTGCCAGAATCCAAGTGACAGCAACAATACCGCTGTGCTTGAGTGAAGGTGGAAGCAACGCATAGAAAAAAAGAGCAAATACACAAACCTTTCTTCTGAGGATGTAATCTTTGCTATCAAATTCGTTCGAAGCATTTACCGTTGAAAGGCAGATGACACGATTGTACCTGTCTCATAGCGTTCGTATGAGAAAATGGAAGAGTTGCCAGTCTTCTTGATGTGTTGTCTTCACCTCAAACAGTAAACAACGACTGAAAATGACAGCTGTAGCTTGGCAAGTGATCCAAGTGCACGATTGCACTTTTATCCATCCATCCATTCCATTTATGGGTTTATGGTATCATGAAATCACCGACAAACCGACATGAATGATCATACAAATTACAAATAAATTTCTGATCAAAGCACAAAACTGACATCTGCCGCCGTGTTCGCGGAAAATATTTCTCCTAGCCACGAACACGCGTACAAAATTTATGAGTTGGTTCGTGTCTAATCTTTTTCTAACAAATTATTTTTATTTAGATAAAACATTTCTATGGTTTTGACAGATGGGATCGCTCCACATTTGAATCGGCCGTTATGGATTCTCGATCAAGAGTTAAGTTTAAGTTTCATGTCGGTTTGTCGGTGATGAAATCGTGAGTATATTTTGTATTTTCTGTAGCGTTACGAATTTGCTGATCCCGCTAAACAGGCGTAGTTCACGGATTTGGGATTAAGTTCTTAAAAATTCGATCTACGTGATCACGTTTACGGGAACTAAGTCGTGAATTCATATGGAATAGCAGTTTAGATTCAAATGATATTTTTTTCACGAATATCGGAACGGTTTTTTTTTTCGTGTAGAATAATACGCCAAGCCACGATTAAAAACTTATTATATTATTCTTTCACCTTAAAGTTGATCAAAGCAAAATTAAAATCATCATAATTGACCTCTGACCAACAGGATAAATATTTGACAAACAAATTAATTGTCACTGGCTGATTGAGGTTTCAAAATCAATCATTCCTTTTTTTCGCCCAATACTTAATCAACCCTCGCCCATTGCATGCTAATATATTCAAAAATCTTTGAAGCGTCATACCATAATAATCCAGCCCGTAATTTCATGGCACTTTGAAGCTTCACGATTAATTGAATAAAATTTCACGCTCATTTTGCCCGTTTATTCCCCAGCTCCACAACAAATGTGCCTCTCTGGTGAAAGCGGAATGTTCGTTGGGTGAATTCGCCGACATGGTGCTACCTCCGACGGCCATTTGCCCCGCAGTTCTGGACCGGCAAAAGTCCATCAACTACGCCACCAGTCGAGGGAAGGTAGGACTTTGGAACCGGTACTCGAGAGAAGAATTCAAAACACTGCCCTTCCTACTTTCAGAACGTGTCCTCGACAATTCACTTCCAAATCACCGCCACGTCAAACATCTGCCCGCTGTTGGTGTTCATCAATCCGAAAAGTGGAGGCCGCCAGGGCGACCGAATCCTTCGAAAGTTCCAATACCTGCTGAACCCCCGGCAAGTGTACGACCTGTCCAAGGGAGGCCCCCAGGAAGGACTGACCATGTTCAAGGACGTTCCGAACTTTACGGTGATATGCTGCGGCGGTGACGGCACCGTCGGATGGGTACTGGAAGCGATGGATTCCATAGAAATGCAGTGCCAACCGTCGATCGGAGTCATTCCACTGGGGACCGGGAATGACCTGGCCAGATGCCTTCGGTGGGGTGGTGGCTACGAGGGGGAAAGTATTCCGAAAATTTTGGATAAGATACAAAGGTCCTCGGTGGTGATGCTGGATCGGTGGAGTATAGATGTCAAAAATAATCCGTCGGCCTGTGAGGACACACCGCTGATTCCGACACATAAGGTACTACAGGTCGTAATCTCCTTTGATAGCAGCACAGGCGAAGATGTTTTTTGAAATGAGATCCCTTTTTTTCATTCTCTCCCAACAGGTGACACTGTCGGAAAATGTACAAAAAGTGATAGAACTCTCGCATAGGATAATAGTAGAAAAATCTGTGATTCAAACGTATGACGAAATTCAAAACAGTACAAAAACTACCGAGATATCGATAGAGAACACGAAACGTGTCGTTCTGAGTGACAATAATGGCACGTTGGCAATGATGCACCAACAACAGCACCAACAGTCGACCACCATGATGTCGAAGGAAATTACTCAGCAAACAACCGCCACCAGCAACGGAGACATTAGCAAAGCGTTGCCACACTCGGAAACAGTCGTTAATGGCACCAGCCAGTGCCAGTGCCAGTGCCAAACGGAAGTCATCAATGGTGATAACCCAACAACCCCCACGATGGTGGTGACTGCAAAAACCACCGAAAGCAAAGACGATGATGCGACACGTGCTGCTCCCGACCGTCCAGAAGAGACGACGGAGACGCCGGAACAGCCAGAGGAAACGAAACAAACTGTCGAGCAGTCGGCACCGACGATGACGGCCTCAGCCAGGGAGAAAATTATTGACCTGCCCAAGCTGTTAAAGCCACAGGCCGCGTCGGAATTCATCGTACCCTATAACATTATCAACAACTACTTTTCCGTGGGTGTGGTGAGTATACAGGACTTTCCGATTTGCTTGATTTTTGCAGAGAGTGCGATTGTTTAAATTTGTTCGACAAGTTTGTTTTCTAATTGGAAGCAGTTGAATTTTCGTGAAACATCACCCCTTTACCCGCATAAAGCCAACCCACTGTATTTTAGAGCAACAATGTTGCATTAGAGAATGGGTTAATATTGTATACCAGGATAAACAAATCTTTGCTCATCATTGTTCTTGAATTAAATCAGCGATTTGACAACCGGGTCAGCGTTGCCAAGTTATTTTCAAGTTTATCGGTATCAAAGGTTTAAAAAAAAATCGGTATTATCGTTATTTACCATTTTAGTTAATTTTACATTATTGCGGTTTTCGAAAGCAAAAATTTAAACTTAGGGACTTTCCAGGAAATTCGGAAGAAATTTCCAGGGAATGTTTCAATTTTCTTCTGAAAAAGCCAAAAAAAAAACTTCCAGAGAAAGAAGAAAGTTCTCAAAAAACATCCGGGGAACTTCTAAGTGAAATATGGAGAAACTTTCACACCCAGAGGAAGTCAGAACGGTTTCGGAAATCGAAAAAAAAAATCCTGGAGTAGTGGCTTCCAAACGAAGCAAGATGAAGCTCGGGAAAACCTTCCAATATAAGTCAGAAAAAAAACCTCCGGAAGAATCTCGTGGAGAAACTTCCAAAAAAAAAAGACGAAAGAGATTTCTGGGATATTTCAATAGATACTTTCGGTAGAAGTTTAAAGGAGCTTCTAGGAGAAGTTGAGAAACATATTTCGGAAGGATTCCTGGAGGATGTCGATAGAAATTTCCGGTGCAAATCGGTAAAATCTTCTAGGGAAAGTTAGCACAATATTCCGCGGGAAGCTGGAAAAAACTGACGAAAGAACAAGCCAGAAGAAGCTTCCAACGGAAGTCGAAAGTACTTTCTGGGAGGAATTGCAAAATAAGGTTGAAAAAAATAACTGGCAACAGCACACTACCATTTAAAAATAAGTGGCAGCAACTTGATTGTAACTGAAATAGGTAACATATAAGATATAAGCAGAGTTAATGTACACGTGCATCCATCCCGCGTGATAGAGACACGCTTTCTATAAGATCGTAGGTGCCTGGTACATTTCGAGACGAATTATTTCGCGTTTCTTTTTTGTTCCTACGTGCCTCATTCGTGTCACATGTGCTGTATCTAATGAGCTAAGCTCGGCGAGCTCCAGGGAGATCGGCAGCGTACACTACGTCTTGCGTGCATGCTAAAAGTGGCTGGTTGGTGATAAAAAAAACAGCAGAGAACTGTTGTAGTCCTGTCACATTCTCGTGTTGCTGATACAACTGATTGATTTCAATCAGTTGGTATTAAGTTTTTGAGGGTTGAGAGATTGTGGTTTCATAGAAGTATTTCAAGCGGAAGATGAGTTAAACGATTACGAACCAATTACCGGCGGGGTTATTTGTTACCGATCCATGCGTATGGAATTTTCATGGTTCACAATATTGATTTAGCTCCACCAAGTTCAAACGATTTCAAATCAGCTCCTGATCATTCTCACAAAATTTGTTCTCATTATAATGCGAACTCATACTGCACTTGACCCTTTGAAGTTTATGTGGGAATTGAAAAATTGAACGTTAGGATAATTAGTTATTAATTGATTAGGAAGATGATGTTCTTCTGACATGATTCATTTACTATTCGGCAACATTGGAATAATAGGACAAAAAATCGAGACTATTATGTCATAAGGGCAAGATGCAGTGTTGTCCTGAAAACAGCCGATTAATCCTACCAGCAAGTTATCAGCTTGGAAATTAATTAATAACAAATTTTCTTGACATTCAACTAAAAAAGGGGTTTTCAACAAAGTTGTAGCTGGGAAATTTTCACGAAAGGGGGGGCTCTGATGGACAACTTTTCCGTAAATCTTTATGATGCAGGGCTAGAGCGATGAAGGAAAAAAATACACTTTTCTTATAGTAATTCCCATATAAACTTCAAGGAGCCAGTGCAGAATCAGTTCGCCACCAAATTAGCTCAAATTTTGGGATATTGATCAGTCTGATTTGGATCCGATTGATCTTGGTGGATCAAATTGATAGGTATTTTGCAGCTGGCAGAGAACCAATAGTTCGGAGGGCCCTTTAAAAAAACTTCGTTGTTGAAATTGATTCGTGTGACTTCATCCGTCAGTATTTTCAGCCTTTCAAGCTGTAGCCAACATCACTAGTTAATTCAAACATGTACTTAAATTTGAGAACTGTTCAAATAGATTTAGACAAAAAGCATGGTGTGTTCGTCCCAAGTAGTAGTCAACCTGAAAATATGATGAGAAATAAGAAAACTGGATTGTAAATTTTGGGATGAATCCAACAGATTTGTCACACTCAACGGTCAGTATCTGAATCGAAAACCATGTTTTCCAAAATGTTCAATATCTTTGAAAGCTCTGCGGAGCCGAAGGACTAAACAAATATTACAATTGAGATCTGAATCGATTTCCTATGAAACAGCAAAAAAGGTTATCTTCCATTCAATTCCACTTAATTAATTTTGGTATCCATGACAGATACGTATTTCGACTACAATGTGCAGTGTCATTCCCACTAAAGAACTTATCAAAATCTAACCCCCTTAAGTACTCATCCCTAGGTAAAAAAGTACTTAAGGGGATTAGATTGATAAGTTCTTTAGTGCGAATGACACTGATGAAGACTGCACATTGTAGTCGAATTACGTATCTGTCATGGATACCAAAATTAATTAAGTGGAATTAAATGGAAGATAACCTTTTTTGCTGTTTTATTTAGCATTCCGCTAACAACCCAATTTCATTACTTCATTACGATTTCCTATATTTTTTGTGCTTGCAACGCATCGAATCTCGACAGATCCGCAAACCCTTTCTGCCGAGGATGCAGATGTTCGTTTTTGCATGCTTTATCGGCCTCCTGAGGGCACTTCCATTATCACCACCTCTTCATGCAGCACCTCTACCACTTCCTCTGTTGATTTGCTGGTGCTGACTGACAATGCACCTACAGCCACTACACCAGGGTACGAACTGCTATCCGAGTTGCAAGGAATTTTGTAGTTCTTCAAGAAACTTCGTGGTACTTCAGGGAACTTTTTAAAAGTTCAGGAAACTTTCTTGAAGTGCAGATTTTGTTTAAAGTTCAGCTAACCACAATCTCAGCTAACTTTGTAGAAGCTTACCGAACTTCTTAGAGTTTCATCAAACTGCTTCGGTAACTCTTCTTCTACGTACCTGAAAAAGTTATAAGACACCGACGCTTCATACACCTCGCAGCTCGTAGTTGGGCTGAATTAGGCTATTGATACTGTCGCTAATGTCATTAGTAACACTTATGACTCTAATGTTCCGTTAACTATTTTCACTAGAACACTGTCCTGATTTTGAACGTTTCTTTGGTATTATTATTATATTTTGTTTTATGCATTAAAACCAACATATTTCAGATGAATCATGAGCTAAATTTAGTGAAATTATTTGAAGTTCTGAGATCGTGGAACAGTTCAGAAAACTTCGTAGAAGTGGGAACTTTATACAAGTTTAGGTATCTTCCTAGAAGTTTATTGTTAAATGGCAGGGAACCTCTTTATTATTCTGGGACCTTTTTTTATATCTTCAGAGCTTTGATGAAACCTCATGTTCAGAAAATTCGGCACAAATTCAGGAAATTTGCGGAAAATCAACGAGAAACGTAAACGTGAAGCAAGCTTTGATGAAGTTTTGTGGACTGCGTAATAATTCGAGGAACTGCGTGTAGCTTCATAGAAGTACAGGGCATTTTGAAAAAGTTCAGGGAATATCGTAAAGATAGAAGACTTCAGGGAGCTTCGTTTCAGTTAAGGGAACTTCAAAGCAGTTTTTCAGAGATCTTAAAAATCTCAATGAACTTCCTGAAGATGAAAGTTATGATCGTTTAATTTCAAGGTACTTTGAAATTTGAGTAAATTTTCTAAAACTTAAGGAAATTTTTTAGATGTTCAGGAAACGTTGCATAAGTAACAGGATATTCTTTCAGATATGCTCCCTAGACAGCCAGGAAGTTTTAAAAGATCAGTATTTGCTGATGTTCTTCTGATCTTAATTAACGAGTTGCTAAAAAAAAGGATGACTTAAGAATGTGCTTAAGTTTTTGAATATAATAATTTTTCAAATGCATAGATCAACTTTCAACACGATGTGTTCCAAATTTAAACCATACACTCTGGCAAAATGGTGGCAACATGGTGATTTGAGTGGTTGATCTGTTGCAGGTTGTAGCAATGGCTGTACCACTTTCTGGTTTGTTGTAGCGAGATGGTGGCGCTTGGTGGTCACTTTGTGGAATTGGTACCGATACTCAGGCGCTTCCTTCTGACACTGTTGGTATACAAAGGCAAGGTCGCCCATTATCTAACCGAAAAGGTTATTTCTTCTTAGCGATTACGGACATCGACGCGAAAACGATGCCATCGAAACCCGCAGAGCAATGGTCAGCAGCAGCCACCTAGATCGTACCATGCCAACCAGAAAGCGATTTGAAGGAACGGAACAGAAGGTCGGTAGACTTTGTGATATTACTAATTGGAATGGTAAATATATCACTGCACTGGTCCACACGCTCATCTGAGTTAAAGCCAATGATGCCCACTCATGTCACTATTTTGTTGCAGCTATTTAGCATAGATCGCACCATCATCCAGTGGGTCACCGCTGCCGTTATAGAATTTATCTGAATGCTCGGTCACATGAGGAACATTAAAAAAAAAATCTGAACTTTTTTAAAGTAATGGTTACAAAGTACAAGTGAAAGCGTAAAGGTAATACGCCAAGAAAAAAATGTTCTGCAAAAAATTCTTCCACCCATTGAATTATCATAACATTGCTGCATTCGTAGCATTCCCACATAATCTATTCAAAATACGTAACATCCCATCTAACTATGTATACCAGTTGTGTTGCCGATGAATGGTTAAATTACGTTGAAAATGTGTGAACGTCT